GTGTTTTGTTTATTATTAAAATGTGACAAAAATATTTTAATTAGTAAAAGCATGCGTTCGAAATAATCAAATATACGGACCATAATGGATGGATCAGTGGAATCATCTAAAACTTGAACGATTAGTCGATCCAATGGCCATATGAGTCTGCAAGCAGCACCTATCGATAATTGAAAAACCTGCAAAGACTCAAAATAAATACAAGTTTAATTAAAAGTTCATAAACTATTATAATAGATAAAATACCTCTCGTTCGTTGTACATTGGGATTTGGACAAGAACCAGTGGAAAGTTTTGATCTCCGAGCTCCATGTCCTCTTGCATTGGCTCCCATTTGTAGATCTTTTCGGGTTTGCGTTTAAACAACTTGACGTAGATTACTACAATGTTCATATAAACACTCTCTACGAAAACTAACAATGAGATGACCAAACATATAGCCACCAAACACTTGAAAATTGGAACTATGAGTAGCCTTCTCACTTGTATCCACCACATAGTTCCCATGCTTAGTTATTTTATTCTCTTCTTCACACCATAGTTATATGCTTCAAGCTTTTCGAAAGTGGCAGATTCATCTTCATGATAACTCCTTCCATGAAACTTCTCGCAAAAGAAATACTAGCTATAACAACTACTCGTCTCAGAATTATGAAGATATGGGAGTGAGATATAATTGGGTAGAAAGATGGGAGAATTTAGAAATGGGTTTCTTTTGTTTTTTGTCAGTAAGTGACTGACTTTAGAGAGATTCTCTTTTTTTGGGTTGAATTAAGTAATTTATCTTTCGTTAAAGACATTTTGTTTTTTCACTTTGATTCGTCGTCGTTTAGCCTGATTATGTGGACCGGATCTTGTACATTATGATAGCTAGTGGGAACAACAAAAGGAGAAAGGGACCAAACAATGTTTCAACTCAGTCTCGCTATTTCTATTCATAAATTTCACGTGATGATTATAGTTTCATTTTCATTTTGTTATTAAGTCATAGTTTTATCATGCATGATACTAATTATTTTATTTTTTTGAAACTAACATTTTTTTCGAAATAGTAAATATCATTAAGTCATGAAAAGTTTAGATAATACAAGAGAGCATTTCCTATACTCAAAGTAACTTTTGCAACAAAAAAAAAACCGTAACCATAGAGCCATTAGATTTTGCCATCGCTTTCTATGCCTTCTAGAATTGATCGTGTTGCGGGCGATCGATATTCTTGAATATAGTAAGCGCATTGATGCAAATGTTGTTGTGCAGCAAGTTGTTTTGTTGTTTCCAAATGTGGAAGATGGTGGCTCCCAGAGCGACTTTCCTAAGAAGTGATGGGCATCGGATTGAAACTAACATGATACTACTTATTGGTTATTACTATGATTACATCGGCATCGGATTTCGTCTACACTTCTACTCAGTCACGCACTTGAACGTTGTCTTTTAACTTTCTTTTTGTTACTTCAATTTCATTACATATTTATGTGTGTACGTGTTTGCAAGTACAGGTGTAAAATGTTTTATTATATATACTCTTCAAAAGTAAATTAAAACTACAATTATTTTAAGAAAACTACAATTATTTTAAGTTGTAAAACTTTAAGTTTCATTAAACATTCTTTATAAATGTTAAAACGTAAAAGCAATAATCTCGACAAAATCAATTTAGTGGTAACCATCTCGACAAAATAAAGTTGAATTGAAACGACTGTAAAATAAGAAATACGTACTGTAATTTTGAGAACAACAATAGTTAATGACTTGTCTTCTGAATTTTAATGGCAACTGTAATCTTTTCCTACGTGTTTCGTAGGTAACTAGAGTCAGTATTTATGAATAGAATACAAACATGTTTTTTTTTTTTTTGGTCTCAGACTCAGACTGAAGTTGAATGACAGACTGATTTGAGAGATTATCTTTCAAACTTCAATAGTGTCTGTTAATTTTGTAAAAAATAGTACAAACTTCCATGTTCCATTTTTTTTATAATCCAGAGCTCTTTGAATAATGGCATTTGAAGACGGAATTTTTTAATGTCGTTTGCTTATAACTTATTAACATAAGACTGTGAATGGTAAACTAGAAGAAACCGGAAGAAGAAAAAATATTCTGGGTCTACCATCACTAGAGGAAATATTTTTTTCTCAGAAGAAAATTTTACCTATATAAAAAAGGTAGAAAACTTTCTACTGGTTTACACTGATTATGGTGGGCCCAACCAAATTTTCTCGCACTTTTCTTTTCTACCATTTTCCTCCACATTGATTACATCTAGAATATGACCCGCGCATTCGCGCGAGATTTTTTTTATACTTTTATCCAGTTTAATATTTTTTTATTTATGGATTTAGTATTTATGTTATGATAAAAATAATTAAATCTTTGATATAGAAAATAATATTTGATTTGAAATCAAATAAATAAATGTTTTGAATTAGTTTTAAAGATGCATGAAAATATCAAAGTTATCATTTAAAATTTATTTGTTTAAAACTTTGTTATGTTCATATATTACACCATTAGATAAATCATGTTATCTAAATAATCGATAACGAATTTGTAGATAAAATTTATCAGTCATTTTCTAATTTATCTTTATAGTAATATGAATTATCAATCATAGTTGGTTTCCATATGTTTTCACAATGTCTCTTTGTTATTATCTTATACTTAGCACTTCACAATTTCTTTAATATGGCAAATGAAATATACTGAACAACATCTTGTTTGCTTGTTGTTTACATTCTTTTCAATCGATGAATGGGAAAGCTTATGTTTTCTTCTTCAACTTTGATTAATATTTTGTTAGTCAGAGCTGAAGAGACCCGTAGTTCCTTTTAAAATAGTTTTATGTATTTTTTCGTCATTTATTTTCGTCTGGTAAGCTTATTTATATTTTGGTTTTTGTTCATTGTAGAAAAATAGTTGAGATTTGAAGATACGATTTCTTAAACGTTTGTCTTCCTAATGTGTGGTTGAATGTAAATTTTTTTTTTTTAATTTAACTACAAAATTTAGTAAGAAAAAACTTTCATGGAATATATAACTTTTAAAAATAATCTAAAGATTTTTTTCCTTAACATTTTATTACGTCAGTTGATTTTTAATAATTTTTTTAATTATAAAATTCATACACACATTTGAGGTTTTTTTATATGTGTAATATATAACTTTGGTAAAACAAAATTCATATTATCATTACTACTAAAATCATGCGTAGTCTTGTATTTATTAATTTTCATTTTTATTCATTTTATTTAGTTTTAATGTTTTTTAATCTAATATATTTTTTTATTAGTTATAAAAAATAATAAATATGATTTAGTGTGTAGTAAATGACTATTTTAAAACTTAAATGTTTTAAGAAATATTTTTGCCTATGTGGACGCTCTAGATGGAGAGAAAAGTGTATAATTATATAATAGATTCACAGCCTAAAAGTGTGATTGATTAACACCCATAGAGAAAAAGAAAAGAGAAAAAAAATTATTATTCATTTATACCAATTAACAAAATTTGAAAAGAAGAAAAATTCTTCTAAAAAGTGTCAAAAAGTAACTAGTTTAGAGGAATTCTTCCTTCCTCTAATACATGGTAGA